TGGAGGTTGTTCAAGCAGTGTGGGACGTTGTTCCAATAACAGGGAAGTTTGTTTCAACCACGGGCATGTTATTTTAACAATGGGAAATGTTGCAACAACGGGCAAAGTTGTTCCAACGATTGGAATATTGTCCCAATTACCGGAGAGCTTGTTTAACGAAGAGGGATCTTGTTTTCCGGATTATCAGGATTTTTATCCGGAAAATCCGGTACATGTCGTGTCAAAAAATCTGGATCCGATCAGGTTCAGATATAAAAAAATAGTATAAAAATAGTTAATTGGCCTTCCAAAATTTCCAAAATTCCTGTCTGTAACGATGAAAGGGAAAAGTAGATCAAAGGGATATTTAGAATCAAGGTGTATTTAGGATTAACTGAATTATAGCGAGAGTCAGTTAAGTCCACATGGAGGGATATAGAAGGATTAGAAGCGATCAAGGGCATTGAAGATATGAAATAATATCGGGGATCTTTGGGATAGTAGAGATTACTTATATTTCTGAGTAACATGGAGGGATATCTGTGGATAAAAGCGGATTAGTGGTAAAAGCTTAAAAGGTTTACATCCTTTGAAATTCCCTGACATATCCGATTTACTGATAATTTCCTTCTCCTGGTTCCTGTTATACACAATTCACGGATAAGAATAGATATAGGCGGATTCGAGATTTTACTCCTATATTCTCTATATCCCATGCTATTCATGCATATCCTAATTAATCACCCGACTTTTCAAATCACTTTCTAATTAAGTGATCTAAATCGCACTAATCATAAAATTTAACGCTAAAAATTCTTTTGATTAACCTTATAATAATTTTTTATATTTTAAAATTTATTAATTTTGTGCCTTGAGAAATTGGAAATCTTTTTCAGAAATTTCAGAAAATTTCTTCTAAAGTTTTAGTTAAAAAATTTTTCTTGTGGGTCTTTTGTCTGTGGGTATTCTGTCCTTGTGGGTCTTCTGTCTGTGGGTCTTTTGTCTGTGGTTCTTCTGTCCTTGGGTCTTCTGTCTGTGGGTCTTCTGTCACTACGCCATTTTGAAAATGAAGAGGTAATGATTTGGTAATACTTTGGTTGATTCCACTTCTTTTCCCCTTTTTTCTCTTTTTATGGCAAATTATCTATCACTCAAGCCGCGTTTAATGTCACTAAATTAACAATATCATCTGCCTTAAAAGCCTTTCAAATCTTATACCCAAATCCTTATTCTGACCTTTCTGACAAACTTTAAATCTGATATTATAGCTACAAATGCTAAAAATGTTTTATTCTTTTGGAAGTTCTGAAGACGATGGAAATATTTTTATCGTAATATTCTTACCTAAAGAACGTTTTGGTCTACAAAAAATGATTAAAAATTTGAATGGAGAAAAATTTCTAAAATTGCTTGAAAAGGGTTATACGAGTAAAGTCCATGTAAATCCATTTTTAAAATTAGTTTAAATTAATCTTTGTATGGATAATTGATTTGATAACAATATCCACTGAAAATTGGGTGAAAAACACAATCCTAGTCGTAACATAAAAAGTTTAAGGGATTTGGAAGGTGGCTTCTTGGTAATTTTTCGGTTTAGACCCCCCAACATTTTACGGAATCCATGAACATTTTGAGCTTTCTTGCTTAATTCAGACTTTAGCACATATCGATACGGATAGATTTGGTAAATCTCAAGAAATTAAGAAGCTGGATCTTCTCTGTGAAAGCTTCATGTTCAACTGCAAGGGATTAAAACAAGTGATCATAACTTTGTTCAGTAAAGTCGAATTTCGTTTATTCTAGTTCCATTCGACTCAGCTCGAAAAGCTCTTTCGAATGGTATATAATTAGCCATAGCAAGATAAGGATGCCGCAAAGGGATTCAGGAAAATGGTGGGGTGTATAAACTGAAGAATTACCGGCTTCTTTAAATAAATTTAATCCTTTTTTGGAAAGGAAAATCGAGGGAGATATCCAAAAGACACCAAATTTGATTCTAACTATAAAACTCATTAAAGCTACAGTACATCCAGTATATCCACATTCTCCATTATTTAATTTTAAAATCTACATTTTTTCTCCAGGTTCATTTACCTAAATTCAAATTCGAATCTACCCACGATTTAAAAGATGTGCTGATCAAATTGGGACTCAATTCAGCGTTTGAAAACGCAAATTTCTCTAAAATAACCATAGATAAGCCTCTAAAGATTGACAAAGTTGTCCAAAAAGCGTTTATTGAGGTGGGAAAATTTTGAAAAAATTTTTTTTAAAAAATTTCCTTTAATACCAGTTGAATGAAGAAGGGACAGAAGCTGTAGCTACAACATTTGTTGGATACGTGCAACAATGTCGTTGGCAACCACCATCATTTGTTGCTAACCATCCGTTTACATTTATGATTGTCAAGAAAACTGAAATTCTCTTTTGTGGAATAGTTCAAGGATAAAATTAAAATAAAAAATAAAATATTTTTTAATTCTTGTTTGTTATGAAATAAAATTATTTTTCCAATTTTTTGAAAAAAATTTTAAATTTTTTGTTGCGATAAAGTTTAAAGTTAACTCATCTAAAATACCTCCTTTTTTGAATTTATAATTCTGATTTTAATTCTGGAGTCTTTCAAATTTTTCCTTTTTTCGTTCCCAAAGAATTATTTTATTTTTTTTCATCTTCCAAAATTACCTATATTTGCCAATTGCAAAAACCATTTTTTAAAATTTTCAAAAAGGATTAATTTGTTAATACAAAAATGTGTCTATTTAAGTTGGAAAATATGTGAAGAAAATCATTTTCCCATTTTTTTAAAATAATGATACAACTACAAAATTTTATTGGGGAATTTTGGGAAAGATGAAAAAAGGGGGACATAAACGACACTATTATGATTTTAAATTTATTTTTAGAATTCCAAAATGCTTTCTCTACCAAATGAAATTCAACTTGATGTTTTAAAATGTCTTAATTTTGAGCAATTATTTTCTTTCAAACAAACCAATTTTTATTTTCGAAATTTGATTAGTAAATACGAGGGAGGATTGGCACGAATGGAATTCTATAAACTTAGACTGGTAAATATCAACGAATTTTATATAAAATTAATTTTAGATTGACACCAAAACTATCGATAGTCAAGAGATGGATTCTTATAAAATCATTGATCTTGAACCTTTAGATTTCAAATTTATTTTGACTGGGCAACTTTTTAAGAAGGTCATAATTCTTAGCAATTTATGCAGTTTAGGTACACACGCCGTTTATTCGCAGACTAATAATATGTCTATGTTACCACGTATTTAACTGAGTAACGTAAATCCCTGCAAAACGCGTGCCGACAAACTCACGCGGTGCGTGTCGTTTGCACAAACGTCTCACCGATAGATTTGTTTGACCATCTGAGCCTCTTTTTAGTTTGCGAATAAATGGGGTGTGTACCTAAACTCGATTTTGGTTAAATTACATTTTCAGTGGAAAACAGCGATAGCTGAATCTTTTCCTTTGTTTTTATATGGTGTTGGAGATGATATTGAAGACATTGCTATTCAGCTCGAGAAAAAAGGTAGTGACACTTATAAAGTGCAGGGCGTTCGATATTACTTTGTCTGACCCTATTTTTTTTTAATTTTCTATTCTTAACTGGTTGGATGTCAATTTTAATTTTCCATATTTAGAGGACATGAAAATCCGTTATATTCTGAAATTGCCAAATATTCCAAAAACTATTGAAGAAATGATTATTATTCGATATTGGTTAGAACAACTTTTTAATTGTGCTTTTGAAACTATCGTGTTTGAAAATATTATATTTAATCCGGAAATGTTTAATTTATTATTTGATAACGACAAAACAATTCTTAAACAATTTCACGTTAAAGTCTTCTGCCTACAGCCTAACAATAATAGTAGAATTGAAGATATTTTGAATTTCGCGTTAAACCATTTTGCAATTTATCTGTCTTTTATGATACTTCTCCATCAGTACGACACTGCAGAACAACTAAATGATATTTTATTCAATATTATAATAAATGAAGGCGCTAAATTACCTAAAGTTTCATTCAGCAATTCATTAGGCCTTTATGATCGAATTATTGAAGTAAAATTTTTAAAAATCAAAGTTTAAAAAATAAATTTGGCTATATACATAATATACGTCCAATCACACTATGCGTCCAATCAAAAAAAGGACTTTATATTTTGAATTTAGGGTTGGGTTCTGTAACAGTTCTTCATTTTCGGACCTACGCCCACTGGGTCTGGGACCATTCCTTACCCTATCCCTTGAAAATTCTGTAAGTTATAGCCAACAGAATAAAATTTCAAAAAACGATTTTAACGTTCAGAAATTTCGAGGTATAGGGTAAGGAACGGTCCCAAACTCAGTGGGCGTAGGTCCGGAACATGAAGATATGTTACAGAACCTAACTCCAAATTTAAAATATAAAGAAAAATTTTTTTTTCTTGATTGGCATTAAGTGTGATTGGACGTATATTGTGTAATAGACAAATAAATTTTAGTATATAACAACATCCAAAGATCTTTCAAAAATGGTCTCTTCTATTTGCTTATTTGATCTTTTATTCGAAAATTTTAAATTGTCCGAGAAGGCAAAAAATGTTAAAACTGAACAACACGATGGTATAAAATCTACAAAATACCAAATTGTCAATATTCATAATCCAAAAATGAAATCTTATTTTTTAAATACCGAAAGTCAATTTCTTTTTTCTGTTAATATCATAAATATGGAAGATTAGAAGTTGAGAAGATATATATTTATAATTTTCTGTTGATTTATTGGACAACAATATTTTTGAAAATTTTAATTTCGTTGATTTCAAACTTAATTTGTTGTGTTACGTAGATTTATAGTAAAAATAAAATAATTTAAAGTATTTTTGATTTAAAACTATGTACAAAAAACGGAATACTTTTAAAAAATAATTTTATTATACGAAAAAATATCTCTATATGCTTACAGATAATACATGGGTAGGAAAATTAAATATTTTTTGTCCAATTAAGTAACAAAATTCATAAAGTCCTCCCCAATTCTACTCTTCATTTTTGTGATATGAACATAACAAATAGTTACACGATCAATTCTTCGTTCATTCTTGGAAAAATAAATATTGCCAATTTCGTATACTGTAGATTTTAAATTATCCCGTTGTTCAGTTTTGACATTTTCTGCTCTCTCGGGCAAATCAAAATTTTCGAATGAACGACAAACAAGTATAATATTAGAAACAATTTTTGAACAGTCCTCAGATGTTGTTATATGCTAAAATTTAAATTTACTTTTTAAAAATGTGGATATCATAAACGTTCTAATAGAAGCCCGGCTCCAGTAGAAGCCCATGCCCGATTAGAACCCACCCAATGGGACCCATTGAAAAATAGACGCTCAGGGCTTCTATTGGAAAATTTAAGTTGACTCTTACTTCAACAATACGATCATAAAGCCTTGCAGAGTTACAAATACCAAAAGCAACGCTAGGTAATTTTTTGCCTTCATTTATTATAATATTGAATAAAATATCAGTGTTTCGCTCTGAAATGTCTTCGAGAGCAATGCTAAAACTCTTGTAAATTGCGACACGACTTAAACTAAATTTCAAAAAAATTTCAAATGGTTCGTTGCTGGGGTATATAGTGGCTTTTTGAACATGAAATTGTTTAAGAATTGTTTTGTCATCATCAAATAATAAATTGATCATTTCTGGATTAAATATTGTATGTACAAGATAACACAGTTCAAAAGCACAATTAAAAAGTTGTTCTAACCAAAATCGAATAACAATCATTTCTTCTATAGTTTTTGGGATGTTTGGCAATTTCAGAATATAACGGGGTTTTTTGTCCTCTAAATAAAAAAATTTATTATGTAAAAAGAGATCTCACACAAAACCTCTTTTAACTTGAACAGAAAAGTCCTCACTATCATTTCCATTTCCATGCAAAAACAAAGGAATAGATTTAGCTATCGCTGCTTTCCACTAAAAAATACAAGTAAAATTTAAAAAATAATTTAACCTTCTCCCTAAGTTGCTCACTCAAAACAAAATCAGAAACTACAGGTTCAAGTTTAATGATTACATCTTGACTGTCGATAGGTTTGGCGTTAATCTAAAATCAATCTTTAATCAAAAATTTCGTTAAAATTATTACCAATAAAAGTTCAAAAAACTTCATTCGAGCCAATCCTCCCTCGTATTTTTCAATTAAATTTCGAAAATAAAAGTTGGTTTGTTTAAGAGAGAATAATTGCTCGAAATTGAGACATTTTGAAACATCGACTTGAACTCCAGGTGGAAGAGAAAGCATTCTGATATGTTGAATAATGAAGAAAAAATCTAATTATATAGTTGGGAAGAATTTGTATTCTGTCTTTCCTTTTATAGGAAAGTGGATTTTTATAATAAAATGATTTGGGTAGTGAGGAAATGCAGGCTTTTATAGTCAAGTTTTGGAATTTTAATTTAGTTTTCGGTTTAACTTGATCTTAAATCCTAGTTTTGTTATATCGACTTTTTCTGATTCTCGTTCACTTTAAAATTTGTTAATTACATACAATCTAAATTAAAAATTTAAGCAAATTTAATTGTGAGTAAAAGTTCCATATTTCGTTTTTTCTTCCATATTTTGAAAAATTACTTGCATATTTTCGATTTTTCCGTCAATAACCTAATCATCATAGAAATTTTAATTAAACTATTTTTAAAAGTATAAAAAATAGATTGGAAGGTTTTATCCTTTAAAAATAATAAAATGAATTATTTAAAAAACAATTTAATCAAAACGAAATCAAATTTAAATAGGTAATTTAAAAAAATTTTTTTTATTGCTCAACAAATTAATTTTTTAAAGAAAAGTCCATTCTTAATTCTGCTCTTCCATTCTTTTGATTCGAAGTAGACAAAACCCTTCCATATCAATTGGATGACAAAACGAGAATTTAACTTTTGGATTATAAATATTGGCAATCTGATATTTTGTAACTTTAGAAAGGCCTTCTTGTAATTTTTCAACTTTTTCTGCTCTCTCGTTCAATTTAAAATTTGTTGATGAATTACAATTTAAAACAATAGAAGTCACCATTTTTGAAAGATCTTTGGATGTTATTATATGCTAAAATTTAAATTTTATTTTTAATTTACCCTTCAAAACACTTAAACAGCAAAAAAGTCCGCAAATAGGGTAGGGATAACGGAAAAGTAACCCTTTTTTCCTCCCCAATTTCCCCCTATATTTTTACAAAATGGTCAGACTTTTTCCTTTCTTTCATCCAATTTGCCTTTCTAATTTTGCCTACAATCAAAGAAAAAGGATTTTTTTGATATTTTATTTCCTATTTTAATAGAGAAAATGAGTCTTCTCAAAGCTTTTACTTGTTAAATAGCAAAAAATAATCCTTTTGTTTGATTGTAGGCAAAAATTAGAAAGGCAAATTGGATGGAAGGAAGGAAAAAGTCTGACCATTTTGTTAAATATAAGGGGAAAAATAGGGAGGAAAAAAGGGGGGTCTGTACTCTTCAATATTACCTACAGAACCTAGCAACCGTTGATTCTATTCACCTCAATGAGCTGAGTCGATAATTTATTTTCTGACCAATTAAGCCCGAAAGTGCCCTGAAAATAAGGTTGTCGGATAGTTGGAAATCTTTAGATATCTGGATCCGACAACCTTACTTGAAACTATACAACTTGCCTCAGTAATAAGATCATAAAGCTCCTTCACCATAGAAATATTGAAGCAAATTCGAGGGAATTTGTTTCCCTCATTTATTATAATTTTAAATACAATATCAGTATATTTTTCAACGTTGCAAACATGCTCGGAACCAATGGCAATGAACTGATAAATTGCAAAATTATTTAAAGCCAATTTAAAAATATTTTCAAATGTGATAGCGCCAGCTGTAAGATAGAGACGGTCTCGAATATGAAATTTTGTAACAATTGTTTTGTCTTCATCAAATAATAAATTGATCATTTCTGGATTAAATATAACATTTTCAAACACGGCATCGACAAAAGCACATTTAAAAAGTTGTTCTAACCAAAATCGAATAATAAGCATTTCTTTTATAGTTTTCGGAATATTTGGCAATTTTAGAATATAACGTGATTTTTTTTCTCCTAAATAAAATGTTTTGATTAATATTGATCGAAATTTGCAGAAACTTTAGATCAGGGTCTATATAGGCCCAGAACCCAACTGAGAGGTGGGGCGGGGAGACTGTACTACCCATCTTCCTTATAAGTAGAGTACGTAAAGTACCGAGTAATTGGGAAAAAACCGAGCTCGATTAATTCGGTTGTTAAAATCCGGAGTTCCGAGTCGAGTAATTACGTAAAAAAACCCGAGCGGTCGAGTCGAGTAACTGAACTCGCTCGACTCTCGAGCACTCTACTTATAAGTATAATTTTCCTTATAAGTGCTCATTACTTGCAATACCTTTTAAACCTGTTTTCTTTAGATAAATATGAAAGTCTAAAGGTTCGTAATCATGTAGAATCAAAGGAACAGATTCAGCTATAGCCGTTTTCCACTGAAAAAATAAAAATAATCTAAACAAAATTAAAAATTAATTCAGCACCTTTTTCATAAGTTGATCACTCAAAACAAAAGTAGAAGAAACTATAGGTTCAATTTTAATGAATACAAAAGATTTGTTATCTTCACTATCGATAGCCTTGGCATCAATCTAAAATTAATTTTTAAATCGAAAAATTGTGAGCAGGCCAATGTACCGCCAAGCTATTAGAGATGTCCAAGGCCGAAGATTCTCCAAGACTCGAGACCAAGACCAAGAGTCTTGGACATTTCTACAAGCTATAACTTCGTTCATAATCATCGAATCCGGGAGACACTGGTATGTTCGATGCGCCCCGACGAGCTGAATTGAACCATACTAGGGCGTTCCGGATTCGAAAATTTTTGAACGAAGCTCAGCGGTACATCGGGGTATACCCCCAAAAAATTAATTTAATATTTATACAAATGAAAGTTTGGAGAATTCCATTCGAGCCAATCCTCCCTCATATTTATTAATTAAATTGTAAAAGTAAGAATTTGTTTGTTTAAAAGAAAATAATTGCTCGAAATTGAGACATTTTAAAACGTCAAGTTGAACTTCAGGTGGAAGAGAAGGAAGCATTTTAAACAGTAAAAATTCTAAAAAATAAATATAGAAACAAAAAATGCGTCTGCAACGTCGTTGACTTATAATTGTTAAAAAAATTTTACTATCGACAATTAATTTAATGGAAACATCCTCAAACCTTTACAGAAGAACCTGACCTCTACAAAAAAAGGTCAGAATAAAGGCTAAAACAACCCAAACCAAATTTGTTTATATTGAGGAGAAAAAAGGGTTGGAAAGGCTTGATTGACATATATTTAAATAGATAAAAGGAACTTTGAAGAAGGGAAAATGTTGAGAGGCATTATAGTAAAGGTAAACGTTTGAATATAAAGGAATTGAGGGAAATGAATGAGGGAAAGTTTAACATGAGGGGAATAGATGAGGTCTGTGCCAGTGGCAAGTATGCATAGGGGGGATAAATTGCCGAAAATGATTCAGGAGGTCAAGATTTTAGTAGAGATGAAAGAATGGGAGAATACAAACGAAGTATTAGGGTAGTCCTATAGTTCTTGCTTTTTTATATCGTCTTAGATAAATGCTTATATCTTACGTTTATTTTTTAGAAATTTTACTGTTTAAAATGCTTTCTCTTCCACCTGAAGTTCAACTTGACGTTTTAAAATGTCTAAATAACGAGCAATTATTCTCTCTTAAACAAACCAATTTTTATTTCCGAAATTTAATTAATAAATACGAGGGAGGGTTGGCAAGAATGGAATTCTATAAACTCTCTTTGGTATATATTACCTAAATTTTTGATTTAAAAATTAATTTTAAAATTGCAATAGATTTACCAAAAATAAAGAAAAGGATCCCTGTGTATTTGTTGAGCTTAAACCAATGATTTCAGAATTTGTTTTGAATGATCAACTTAGGGAGAAGGTTAGAAATTAATTTTATGTTAGTTAACACGATTTTCAGTGGGAAACAGCGATATCTGAATCTATTCCGTTGTTTTTACATGATTTGGGCGGTGTCTCTGAAGATTATATTGCGGCCTTTATTATCAAATTGGAAAAAATAGGCAACTTATTTACAATTTATTTACTTTAGAGCCCGACCCCCTTTACCGGGGATTTTAGATTTTGGACAAATTGTATGTCAATCGAAAGAGCTCAATAAGCTGCATCAGAAGACATAAAAGCAGCTCGATTGGATGACTAAATGTAGGGTAGGCCGGGCATGGTCCACTACACGATGGCTTGTACTTTCTTCGAGCTTCCTTCCGCTTGATCTAAAATTTTCTACAAATTTCGACCTATATTAATAATAATATTCTATTTAGGAGACAACAAATCCCGCTATATTCTAAAATTGCCAAACACTCCAAAAACTATAGAAGAAATGGTTATTATTCGATTTTCGTTAGAACAACTTTTCAATTGTGCTTTTGAAATTGCCGAGTTTAACAATGTTATGTTTAATTCAGAAATGATTAATTTATTATTTGATACTGACAAAACAACTCTAAAACAATTTCATGTTCAAACAGTCTCTATTGGCATTTTCCCTTATGAATTTGAAAAATTTTTGGAATTTAGCTTAAATCGTTTCTACGTTTCAAAAGAACATGCAAATATTTTATTCAATATTATAATAAACGAAGCCAAAAAATTACCTCAATTTTCTTTCGGTTATGTTTTTTCTTCAAAACTTTATGATCTTATTGTTGAAGCAAGCTACTATTTGCCTATTTTTAAAATAAAATTTAAATTTTAGTACATAACAACATCTAAAGATTTTTCAAAAATGGTGTCTGATATTGTCTTGTGTCATCATTCATTCGACGATTTTAAAATTCCTGAGAGGGCAAAAAATGTTGAAATTGACGGTACTTCTACAAAATACGAAATTGTTAATATTCATAATCCAAAAGTTAAATTTTCAATTGTCAGTCATAAAAGCCCTGATTATGTTTGTTTCAAAAGAATAGAAGAGTAGAATTTGGGAGAATGATATGAAATTTTCTGTTAATTTATTGAAACAATTTAATGGTCAACAACAGAGGGTGGGTCGGAATTCAAATTTCCGACGTTTTTTCCCTCAATTTCTGAACAAAAATTTTGATTTCCGAGTTCTGACTTTTGAACCGGTTCCGATTTTCAATACCTCTGACTGTTCCGACCCACCGCTGATCAACAAAGTTGTTAAGAAAAAATATTATTTAATTTTCATTGACATTAAATTAAAATTTTTTTGTTTTACTTATTTTTAATTTTTATGTAGCAGTTTAAAGCCTGCCAATTTATTTTTTAATATTTTTACATTTTAATTTTACATTTTTCTTTCCCATGGTCTTAAAGTTCAATTGCTATTTAATTTTTTAGTAATATTGCCCCTCCTTTTTCCATCTCCCAAAATTCCCCTATACTTGCGAATGGCACAAAACAACCAAAAAGTATTAATTTTTTGGTATAAAAATTATGTCTTATTTAAGTTGAAAAATATTCAAAAAGAATGCCATTTTCTCATTTTCTTAAAAAATAATGGAACGACTACGAAATTTTAAAACTTCCCGTATAGGGGGATTTTGGGGGAGACAGAAAAAAGGGAAAAACAGGGGCATAAAAGACACTACTAGGCACTCATAAGTTCTTGTACTTTCTATGGTGTCTTAGATAATCGCTTATATCTTACGTTTATTTTTAGAGATTTTTACTGTTTAAAAATGCTTTCTCTTCCACCTGAAGTTCAACTTGATGTTTTAAAATGTCTTAATTTCAAGCAATTATTCTCTTTAAAACAAACCAATTTTTATTTTCGAAATTTAATTAATAAATATGAGGGAGGATTGGCAAGAATGCAATTCTATAAACTCTCTTTGGTAAATATAACTAATTTTTTCATATAAAATTGAGTTTAGATTGATGCCAAAACTATCGATAGTCAAAAGATGGATGCCTATAAACTCATTGATCTTGAACCTTTAGATTTCAAATTTATCATGAATGGGCAACTTTATAATAAGGTCATAAATTTTCGGGAACTTATGCAGTTTAGGCACACACGCCATTTATTCGCAGGCCAACAATAGGCCCACGTTACCACGAAAAATCTGGGCGTTTAATTCTGGTGTGTACCTAACCTGCTTAAGTTCCAATTCTTGATTTTTGTTAAATTACTTTTTTTTCAGTGGGAATCAGCGATAGCTAAATCTCTTCCTTTGTTTTTATATGGTGGAGAAGATATTGAAGACATTGCTATTCAGCTCGAAAAAGAAGGTATTGACACTTATAAAAAGGATAGTGCTTTCCTAATGAATCCCCGTTTTATGCATTCAACCAGATAAAAATTTTCTAGTACTTTAACTAGGGTTGTCAGTTCGGTAGTACTGTGGCTGATTTCTTTCTATTTTTTATTTTCCCTTTTTATGGCAAATTATATCTTTGAGCACAAAAGCGACACAAAATTTTCCTAGACAGAATTTAGCCTAATAATTATTTTAAAAATTATTAAAACTAATCTATCTTTGTTTCATTCGACCCAGCTTTAAAGGCTCCTCCGAATAATTTACATGGGTTCACCCCAGAAGATCAAAACCCAGAAGGTCAATACCCAGAAGGTCGACCAGGAGATCAAATGACCCAGAAGGTCAAAACCCATCAGGTCAAATGACCCAAAAGGTCAAATACAAATCTTTGGTGGATAAAGGTGATTCATGCTCAAGAATATGTTTTCCTGCTTCTTTTTGCATTATCCGACATTTGCTGCTAGAGTATTTCCGTTCTATGTCCTTCTGGGTTTTGACCTTCTGGGTTGATCCCATTTACATTATAGAAAAATCTTAACTTACAGGAAAACTTGAGAACCACCAATCCTAATTGAATTTAACCCGGGCTTTCTCCGCAGATTTAGATCTTTATTATATCATTTTTATTTAGCGGACAAAAAATCCATTTATATACTGAAATTGCCAAACATTCCAAAATTTTTTGAAGAACTGATTATTATTCGATTTTGGTTAGAACAACTTTTTAATTGTGCTTTTGAAATGGCCGAGTTTGAAAATATTATATTTAATCCAGAAATGATTAATTTATTATTTGATAACGACAATTCAATTCTTAAACAATTTCACGTTAAAATCTTTTGCCTAGATCCTAAAAACAATAGTAGAATTGAAGATATTTTGAATTTCGCGTTAAATCATATTGCAATTTATCTTTCTTTCACGATACTTTTTGATCAGTACCACACTCCAGAACAACTAATGAATATTTTATTCAACATTATAATAAATGAAGGCAATAAAGTGCCTGAAATTAGTTTATATTGTAACTCTACAAAGCTTTATGATCTTATCGTTGAAGTAAGGGTTAAATTTGAAAATAAAAGTTGAAAATAAATTTGAATTTTAGTATGTAACAACATCAAAGGATCTTTCAAAAATGGTGTCTACTATTTGCTTTGGTTACTATAAAACATCCAACAATTTTAAATTGCCCGACAGAGCAGCAAAT